TCGTTCTGATCCAGAATGAACACGTTCACTGTCACGTTGCTGCTCAGAGACGGAGCTCCAGAATCTGTGGCCACAACTTGGAACTGGAAAGTTTTTAAAGTTTCAAAGTCGAAACTCTTCAGCGCCACAATGTCTCCAGTTTCAGAGTTTATGTTCAAAAATAATGTGAATATATTTGTGCCATCTTTATCTCTTAAAATCAGATATGAAATATGAGCATTACTGCCTTCATCGGTGTCACGAGCTGTCACTGAGAAAATCTTCTCTCCTGGTGGATTATTCTCAGTTAGATAAAATGTGTAAGGACTCTGTGAGAACACTGGTCGGTTATCATTAACATCTGATATTATTATTTCTATGTTCTTTTCTGAAGATAAGGATGGTTCTCCTGCGTCTTTTGCAAAAATGATTATGTTATATTGAGACTGCTGCTCTCTGTCAAGCATGTGTTTAGTTACCAAAGAGTACATATTTTTTTGCAAAGATGGAGTGAGCAGAAACGGAAGATCTTTGTTAATGGAACATATCACTTTTCCATTGAGACCTGAATCAGAATCTGTAACACTAATTAAAGCCACTGTTGTACCTGGCTTTGAATCTTCAGGCAGTGCATGTGAGAATGACGTCACTTCAATCTCTGGCTCGTTATCATTTACGTCAATAATAATAATTATTATTGTTTTGTCGGTTTTCATGGCAACTGCACCTTTGTCTGATGCCTCAATATCAATTTCTAATCTTGCGGTCTCTTCAAAATCTAATGCTCCTGCCACATAAATGATTCCAGTGACTGGATTTAAATTGAAAACGTCACGCACACGTGGATCTACATCCTTGCCAAATGAATACACAACCTCCCCATTTGAACCTTCATCTAAATCTGTCGCATTAATCTGAATGACAGTTGTGCCAATAGGAGAGTTTTCTTTTAAAAACACAGAATATGACTCCTGACTAAAAACTGGCGGATTATCATTAACATCAGACACATTTACTATTATTGTCATGTTTCCAGACTTTGCAGGTTTTCCTCCATCTAACGCTGTCAGCAGTAACACGTGACTTTTTACTGATTCTCTATCAAGTGACTTTTCAAGAACCAAATTTGGTGTTTTACGGTCCTCACCCCGATCTTTCACTTCCAAACGGAAATGTTCATTTGGGCTCAGCTTATACTGCTGAACAGATAATAACCCACTGTCAGCATCATGAGCATTTTTTAGCAGAAATTTAGCTCCTGGCAATGCAGATTCAGAAATCACCATGGTGCTTTTATTCTCCGGAAAGCTCGGCGCGTGATCATTTACATCCAGAATCTCCACAGACACGTGATGGATCTCCAGCGGGTTTTGCAGCACAGTTTTTAAATCAATCACACAAACCTTGCTGCGGTCGCAGATCTCCTCTCGGTCTATTTTTCGGTTCACAAACAAGAAGCCATCATGCTGATTGACTGTGAAAGGAGGCTCTGTCGAGCCGTATACAATACGGACCCCCCTCTCTTTCAGCGTCGCTTTATCCAGACCTAAATCCTTTGCGATATTTCCAACAACTGTTCCTTCTTGAACCTCCTCGTTTACAGAATATCTAAATTG